AAATGGACTCTCATGGCATATACCAAACCCAAAAGCCAACCTCGCCGCTATCTGTTGATTCCAAATCATAGCGATGGTGCATTGGGTGGCTGAGGCTGTAAATCTGTATAGAGCAGATGGCCTCGTCTTGCTGCTGAGGAGCCGCTGGTAGGTCTGGATGTCCACCTTTTGGTCAGCAGCCCAACACTCAGCTTCCAGCAACACCAGGCCCCCCTGAGTTCATGGCACAGAGCGCCTACACACAAAGCCAATTTTCAAGATTCCTCTCCGAAATAAATAATACATGTACTTATGGGGATATTTACTACTAAATAAAAATTTTAATGAAGATAGTAAGTAATACAGACAAGTGTATTTTGTGCCTACTCTATTCTATTCTAGAACCTGTTAGGTAATCAATGTTAGAATCTCCTGAAAGATAAAAGACACTTGTTTTAGAATACTAGGGTGAAAATATTTTATCTTGCTTTATTCATCTGTGACCTAACACTTCATCAAAAGAATAATAATTTTTAGCATAAACTATATCCAATAGACATCAGTGGTAGATTATTTTAAAAATATAAGTAAAAACAAGTTAAATTGATAGAGGCCAAATTTAACAATATTTCTCTAATACAACATTTTGCCATCATTAATACTAGTGTAGCTTCATGTATTGGTGAAAGATACAGCTCTGTAAATCATAGTAGATTGAGACCCACCCTTTCCAAGATGTGTAATCTTGAATGTCTGTGAATTTATTTTACCAACTCCCGCACGGTTGTGATTAGGATTAAATGAGAATCTTCATGTAACCTTTATAGACTATTACAGGGCACATTGTAAGTAACTGATGAGTATTTCAATGATGATGATCTGGGGGGAAAGTATGAGAAGTGAAGTGCTCTGAAAAGTTCAAGTGGCGAGCAAGCTGAGAAACAATGGGTGGGAAGAACTCTTCCTCAAGTGGCAGGTGGAGTTCACGTGGGGGCCAGCCATGCAGCCTGAACGGATGATGGCCTCTCCGACACCAGGTCACACATCTGTCCAAGGAGATGGGATGATCTGCTCACTCTAAACTTTGATTTCCGCTCTGTGTCCAGGGCAGGCTCGCTCATTAAGAGAGAGAACTGGTAGAAGACGTACATATGAATGGAGAATTAGCGTTAATAGTCTTTCATTGTACTTCATTTTTAAAAAATCCAGGGATCCAACTAAATAAGAAGGGGAAAGATTAAAAAAAAGACATGGGTAGGGGGAGAGCAGGTCACCCAAGAGGAGGGTATTGTTTATATCTCCACAGTAGAGGGAGAGAGAGACCAGGCTTCAACCGGATGCGCCAAGACGTGAACACAACATGCCAATAGAGAACCAATAGAGAGGTCTGTGGGGCTGGCCCCAACCACAACTAGGTGGACACCCCGCCACTCCCCACAGAAGAACGTACTTCAGAGGACAGCACTGGGGCTACAGTTCAGGGAGAGGGTCACGTAGGATTTGAGCACATGGGAGAATCGCAAAGGG